GAAGAAGAAGAAGAAGAAGAAACAGAAACATTTCCCAACAAAAAGCAAATTGAGTTATTGAGGTTAAGGAGGAAAAAAACAGATTTTTAAGACTTTCTGAATGTGAAATGTTTCTGATTGCCTACAAAGGGCCGTCCGGGAAGACCCCCAACCTCTTGCCCTCCAGAGAGATTGAGCCTCCATCCTCACAAACCCCTTCCCAGCATGGATTTGAAATCCATCACGTCTGGGGAACATCAGGCTAAGAAAAGTGTGCAAAACAGTCAGTGCAGTTACAACTTCGAATGGTTTCTATCTAAACCAATGGTTGTAAGCTGAGGACCACCTCAACCTGTACAGTTATGTCCCACTGCTCTGAATCAACCGCAACAAAGTGTGGTCTTTTGTCGGTTGTGTCTCCATGATGTTGTCTTCCTTGCTTCCCTGATCCAGGAGCAGCCTTTAAGACGTGGACTTCAACTCCCAGAATTCCCCAGCCAGCTATGCTGAGTCAGCCTTCCATCCTTCCGAGGTGGGTGAAATGAGGACCCGGGTTGTTGGGGGCGATATGCTGACTCTGTAAACCGCTTAGAGAGGGCTGAAAGCCCTAGGAAGCGGTATATAAGTCTAACTGCTATTGCTATTGCTTCAGATAGCGAGGGGATGGGTGGTGCATAAATCTAATCAATGAATAAACGGCTATGCAGATGGCAGAAACACACCAGGCTGCAGGCACACTGGGTTGGGCCCTGGAAACAGTAGACAGCACATGGGAGAACAGCCCAAGAGCGGCTAACTGATCAGCCAACATCGCCCTCTGGTGGCTGGCGGCGGGACTGGAGAGGAAGGCACAGAAGGAGACAGCACGCCCCCCCCACCCCCTACCTTGTCTCCCGCACGTCCCGGGTGATGCGGTAGTTCCAGTCTCGTAAGAATTCGTTCTCCTTGTCGAATTCGTTTTCATCTTCCCCGATCGTTACTGTAAACCGTTTTTCTTCAAAATCGGGTTCTTGTTCTTTCCTTATGGTAGCCTTTTTCAGCACCTGGCCCATGGGGGCGGGGGGGGGGGGAGAATGGCAGGAGTGTGAGTTCCCCAAAGGGTTGAGAACACTGGCACAGCAGAACCTCCCCAGCCTGACACCTCCAGGAATATTTGGAGGGTGAGATTAGGATTCTGAACCACTGGCCCCCTTTTTTTTAGAAGCACCAAGGCTGAACCTTACTTCTGTATGTTAGAGGTGCACAACACACCTGGAAATAAACATGCCCCCCCCTCCCCCAAACAGATGACTTAAACAACTTTGAGGATGAATCTTGAGTACCATTCATTCAGCGCTGTTGCAACTTCAGTCACTGAATGAGGGGTTGGTAAGCGAGGACTTCTCAGCCCTTCCTCCCCTCTGTTCTGCGCAAGGGGCAAGAAGAGCCAGCTTACCTCCTTGGCGTGTCGGAGGCCCCGTTCCCAGGCACTTTCCGTTGGAGGGTCAGGAGGTGGGGGAGGGAAGATTTCATCCACACCGGGCCCTCCCTGTGAAGAAAGAGGGAAGGAAGATTCCAGTGAGGTTCATTGTCACAAAACCATCGTTTCTACTCCAGAAAAGCTATCGGTTGCTAGGATAGAGCCCCACGTGGCTCTTAGGTTGCCTGTAAGCAACTCCAGCCTTTTCCACGTGTGCAGCATGGCTCAGGTGGACTGGAGTCTTAGTCCAGAAGGGAAACTGTACAAACACGGAAGCATCCGGCTTCTCTCTGCTCCAATCAGGGTGGCTTGTACAAGACTTCTCTGCTCTTCTAATATTAGACCCACAACGTTCTTAACACAAGATCCCCAAACGCACGGCACGCTTATTACGTGGCCAGGTGGCTCTGCCATCTCCTTCTCCTCCTGTATGTCCCGTGCTCACTATCCATTGGAAACAAGGGGTGGTAGAAGAGACATCTAGCAACCATCCAGGGGTGCTTGTTTTCCCCAAATCCTCCTACCACGGATAGGGCTACAGCATCCATCAAATTCAGGCAATAAACACTGATACAATACCGTACCCAAGGGTTGGCTGGCATCAGTGGGTGAGGACCAGGGCCAATAGGAGGGGCACCGTTAGAAGAGAAAGGGACTGGCTTGGTAATGAGAGAGTAGTTTCCTTTGTCATTCACACCAGGATGAATAAATCGGCAGTTTATGCCCCAAGTACAGTTCCCTGTGGAAAAAGAAGCAGAAGGGTTTTAAGAAAGGCCCAAGCAAAACAAACCTCACATCAACCACAGGACACCTGTCAACACAACCCTTCTCTTGCCTCGTCCTGTTCTTCAACCACTTAGTTACGTGAAGGAGATTCTGCTAGAGAATTATTTGGCTTATTTAAATAAATTGTATTCTGTACTTCAAATGTTCTCCTTGTGCTGCTTCCATAATGAAGTAAAACAACAACAGACTATATACAAAAAAATGATTCAAAAATTGAAACTGCAGCACAAATTGCATGAGAACCAAAAAAAAACCACACCAAAGGTTGTTTTTTTTAATAGTTGCCACCTACACAATCAACAAGGGCTGCAGGAGGCAACTGTGCTCAATTCATGTTGATCAAAATAGTTGTGTAATGCTGATAGCTAAACTAAGTTTCCATATGCTGAGACTGTGTTACTGGACGAGGCTTATTGTCTTTAAGCTCCATCTTTGGGCTTCTTTAAAGCACTTGAATTTTGGTGTAAGCATTTTGGTGCAAGGTGACCTCTGACAGCTAGAAACCATCTGAGGAACAAGGAGAAGCCACGGGATTCTGAAGGGGGGCTGTCCAAGAAACAGAGGCTCCTTGCTGTGGCTCAGGAGGAAGGGGCGCGATTGGCTTTAATGTGTACCTTTCACAAAGAAACGGCAGGTGAGACGTGGCCTCATTTTTCTGTCATTGGGATCTTTCACCTCTCCCTCCTCCAGGTCATCATCCTGAAAGAGAAAGACAGGAACTCAGAAGTTGCAATGACAGCAACTTAAACCATGGGAACCGGACCAAGAAAACGAGAAACCAGAGAAGGAAGATGGATTCCCACAGCCCATGTGCTCCTCAACGTGTGAATGGTTATAGGAGGACCCTCACATTTGGTCTCCCCAACCTCTTCTGATGCTCCTTGCTAGCATTCTCTTCTAATCCTCTTATGCGCTCAGGTTTTGGAAAGTGGTCAAGCAGAAAGTTGGCATTTTGGCTTCAAGGCCAACTTGGTTCTTCCTTTCAGAACTCTCCTCAGCCCAACCCCTGAGGAATACGCCTTTCTTGCTCTCATCCTGCAGGCGTAACTGCGATAACGTCAGCACCATCTACCCTCGGAAAGACTCAGTAGACTTCATTCATCTTCAAAAAGGTGAAGCAGAGGAGCCAAGGTGGCGCAGTGGTTAAATGCAGCACTGTAGGCTACTTCAGCTGACTGCAGTTCTGCAGTTCGGCTGTTCAAATCTCATCGACTCAAGGTTGACTCAGCCTTCCATCCTTCCGAGGTGGGTAAAATGAGGACCCAGACTGTGGGGGCGATATGCTGACTCTGTAAACCGCTTAGACAGGGCTGAAAGCCCTATGAAGCAGTATATAAGTCTAACTGCTATTGCTATTGCTATCTTGCAACATGGGGTAGGATAAGTAAGCATAGAACTGAAAGCGAGCACTAAAAAAATGGAATGTTCTTTGCAACGACTTTCTAAATCAATATTGGAGGCCTCAGATGATGAAACGCTGATGCCATTTCTCCAGAATCTGTGCCAATTTAAGTATTTAGCTCCTGCAACAACCAACGTCGTCAGCGGAAGTCATGCTTTCCTTAAGCACTTTCAGAGGGAATTACACTGTAAGAAGAAACTTTCTGACTTCTGAACAAGCTGATATCTAACATGGATGTTAAGGATCATCTGGCAGTAAAAGCTGTGGTTCAGAGTTTCTTGGCCATTTCAGCTCATCTGCACTTGTCCTCCTTGTCGCTTCCTACTTCGAGTATTCATCACAACAACAGGTCTCTCTCTCTCTCTATCTTTTCTCACAATTGCTGCTTTGCAGCCTCAGATGTTATCTGGGCATCTACAGGGCTCTTAGGACCACCCTTTTCCAATCCAGACCAAGGGCAAAACTTGCCAAGCTGGATGTGTATGAAATGGCGGATGGTTCCACTGCCATCAGGGGCCAAGTGGAGTGATAGAAAATGGTGCCGAGATTCAGCAACTGCTCCCAGGATTCTGAACGCAAATGTTGCTACATGCTGAAGAATTAGAGCAGCTTCCCAATTCTTGGCAATGGTCATACTGTGGGAAAGATTGACAGTTGAAACCTAAGCATTGGAAGGTGCCTGGTTTGAGAGTATTAACTCCACCCCCAACCTTTGGCTCTGCTTGTTCCGAAGCATTTGAGATTTATAGCAACTAAAGGGCTTTTCTGAGAAATGAGGTCAATAACATAAACCCCCACCCCACCCAACAGCTTTTCATAACCCACCCCGATCAGCAACTTTTTGCACAGAAGCAGTGCAAGTCTGTCATTATCACGTTGCTGTTTCTTCTGAGTAGTTAAGACATTTATAAGGTAAGGAAACGGCTAGATTAAAGTGACCTGGCAATGCTTTTGGAATAAGCTGGTTTAATGCACGTCTAGATCCCGTTTGAGAAAACAGCCCTTTATCGACCTCTCTGTCCTATAAAGCAGTGTTTCTCAACCTTAGCAACTTGAAGATGTCCGGACTTCAACTTCCAGAATTCCCCAGCCAGCATTCGCTGGCTGGGGAATTCTGGGAGTTGAAGTCCAGACATCTTCAAGTTGCTAAGGTTGAGAAACACTGCTATAAAGGGTTGTGGGAATCTGTTTTCTCCCAGGGACACACTTGGTGGGGAGGAGGGGGACTGCAGAAGGGAGCTGAACTTACGTCAATCTCGCCGTCATCGATTTCTCCATCTTCTTCCTTCTTCTTCTCCTTAGGAGGCTCCTGCCCTTCCTTCTCACTGTTGCTTTTGGGGGTGGGCTGTTTGTCATCTCCCGGAGGCTCGTCTCCCTTTTCTTCTTCCTCTTCCTCTTCCTCCTCCCCCACAGCCTTGTCGGCCTCATCGTCTGCAGGAACAGTGCTGGGCTCCTCAGGAACCTCCTCATCATAGTCCAGTTCATGCTCATCCAGTTCCCGAATGACCGAGGAGGCTTCATCACCCAAGTCATTTGCCCCCTCTTTCACTTGCTCAACACGCAAGGAGGACTTGAGTGGCTGGCTTTGATCATTACGATCAGAGTCCGGAGACTTGGTTTCACTTAAACGCTCCTCTTCCTCTGAGGGAAGGCCTTCCTCCTCCCCATGGCTCAATGTTCTAGTTGCCCGATTTGGACCTTTTCCCAAGGAGGCACCCCGTCCTTCCTCCCCATCCTGCTCTGAACTACTCCCTTTCAAGTTTTCATCATCAGAGGGCTGGTGGTCATCCTCCTCTTCGTCTTTCTCACTGGGAGAGCGGGGGTTTTGCTCAAGTGTTTCAGAAACATCCATCAGGACCCACAAGTCTGGAAGAGAGAAAAGGCTCAGGTTAAAAAAAAAAAGGACAAAAGTAGATTCATAGCTGCCTTTTAACTACTAGAGACTGTTAAACTGTCACGTCAACATTTTTAGCTTGCAATGCACTTCACCCATCCCATATTTAAATGCTGGCCCGTGAAAGTAAAAGAGGGTGAATGAGATTCTTAAAGAAGAGCTGTTTTGTAGCATCTAAAGGCCAAAGTAAACAAAAACATTCATTGACAAGTTTCCTGACAAGATTTTAACTTGTTTATCAGAAGCTATTTCTGACCACAAATGAAGCAATGTATCTATGAATTAAAGTGTGAAGAGGGAGACCGACGCTCCCCTCCCACAGCCAAGTTAAGAATGCATCCCCTTCACCCTGTCAACACAAGCAGAGGATAATGGGATCCATGGTCCATTCTATGCCATCCAATGGAATATAACCCCATTGGACCTTGGAAGAGACCCCAGTCCCAGCATCGCCCACCCCCCCTTCCAGACCTTCAAAACACGGATCCCCCTCCCCAGCCCAGAGAGGAGCTCCGTGGCCCCGCTGGCCAAGGATGATGGGAGGCGCAGGCCGAGATGGCAGCCCCCGTCCGGGCAAAGGTCGCCCCTGGGCTGCTCCCAGCCCTCCCCGACCCTCGCCATCGGGCGATCGGAGCCAGCCCCGAGCCCATCCGGCCTGGCGGGCTTCACACGATGGGAGTTGTAGTCCTGCGCCTGCGGAGGCGGTGGTCCTGCGGCCCGCGGGTGCCCTCGAGGTCATCGCCTCCGGGCCCCCGAAGACCGCTCCGGGGGCGCCGGGGTGTGGAGGCCGCAGCCCGCACGTTCGCCCGGGGCTCAGTAATCAGGCCGGGCCTCCCCCGGAGGAGCCACGGAGCGACAGGCAGCGACGCCCCCGGCGCCTTCCCCGAAGGCTCGATGCCGGCCCCGGTTACCCCCGGCCCGTAAGCGGGGCCCGCCGCTCCTCACCTGGCCGAGCGGGAGGGGGTCGGGGAAGGGAGCGGGGAAGCGGCTCCGGGAAGCGGCGGGGCGCGCGACAAGGCCTCTACTGGCGGCAGAGCAGGGCGGCCATGGCGTGACGTCATGCACGCGCGACGCCGCCAGCGGCGGCGGCGACGGCCTCCCCCACCTGCCCAGCGCGCCTGCGCCGCCCGGGCAGCGCGAGGCCATCGAGAGTTGGGCGGGTCCGGGCCGCTTCAGGGAAAGTGACAGTCGAGCCTCGCCCGCCCTTTAGAAGCCCGGATTAGCCAATCGGGAGACGGAGGGAGGGAGGGAGAGCGCGCGCCTGCGCACTCCGGGCTCGCTGCCCGACTTCTCGGAGACTGTCGGTTTCGGCTCCTTGTCGGCTGGGAGGGATGGGCTTTGTAGTCCCCCCGGGTGTGGGGAACGGTGGTTATACTGGTGCGGCAGAGGTGGCGGCGCGCGCCCGAGGGTGGCCTGCAAGAGGTCGCCTGAGCATGTGCAGAGCGCCTGGTCCCTTCCCGGGCAGGAGTCGTTGTCCGGGGAGGTTGCGGAGCATGGGCTTCGTTGTCCCAGGCCGGTCGGAGCAGCTGTAGTTGAGAAGGCGCCGAGGCTCCCGCCCCATTCTCGCCCGCCAGAATGGGGCGGGAACCTCGGCGCCTTCTCAGCTACAGCTGCTCCGACCGGCCTGGGACAACGAAGCCCATGCTCCGCAACCCGCTGGTTCCTGCAGAGGGCGGCGTTAGCAATGAGAAGAGCCCTTAGACCAGCGGTCTTCAAACTTGGCAACTTTAAGACTTGTGGATTTCAACTCCCAGAATTCTCCAGAAGTCCACAAGTCTTAAAAGTTGCAAAGTTTGGGGAGCCTTGCCTTAAGACTTCTATATTGCTTCATACGGCTTTCCAGCCCCCTCTAAGCAGTTTACAGAGTCAGCCTCTTGCCCCCAACAATCTGGGTGCTCATTTTACCCACCTCAGAAGGACGGAAGGCTGAGTGGACCTTGAGCCAGTAAGAATTGAACTCACGACAGTTAGCCTGCAATACTGCATTCTAATAGGAAGGAAGGGAGGAAGGAAGGAAAATGGCAACAGAACTTAGACAGTGCTTCACAGTGCTTTCCAGCCCTCTTTAAGTGGTTCACAGAGTCAGCCCCTTGACCCCAACAATCTGGGTCCTCCTTTGACCCACGTCGGAAGGTTGGGAGGCTGAGTCAACCTTGGTATGTTCCTCGATCCACAGTCCGCTGCCCTTGGGATCTGCTCCAAGGCCAGAGCAGGGATCCCAGATTCGCAAGTCCTGACCCGATTCCTTTAGTGGCCACAGCTGGAAGGTGAGGAATCGGGGCAGCCCCATTGGCGTCTTTGCTGGGGACCCAGGGGGTCTTTGCTCCCTGGGGCTCCCGGCGTCCTCCCCACTTGCCCTCCATGAGCCTTTCCAGATGTGTGGGTTTCCCCCCTTCTCGCCCTACAGCGAGCCTGGCCAGAAGGAAGAATCAACGCAGGACCGGCGAGTCCCACCGTCAACACCTGCCTTTAAAAGATATTTAAAACCATACGGAACTTCATTCCAGCGTTTCTGATGTCCCTTCCTGACCTGCTCTGCATATAAAGAAACTCCACAATCCTGCACTGTTTGCTGGTGATGGCATTCAACAGAAGAGGGAGCTCAGACCCAGCAGACTTAATGCACACAAACCTTCCTTGTTCTGGGCAATCCAGTGGCAGAAATATTTGCTGTAGAAAGACTCATAAAAGAAATAACGTTTCTAAAATTGAATAATTTGGCAAAAAAAAACCCCATAGAATTATAGGGGAGGAGTTGAATTAAAAGGTAATCGAAATGTAAAGGCAAGAAAAAAATAGATTTAAAATGATGTAACTGTTAAATATGCTGACACAAAGATTGTACCCAGATGACATACTGTAAGATTAATGATGTAAAAGAGGTGATGGAAAAATAAAATAAAAAACTTTTCGGGGGGAAAAAAAGAAAGCATTTCTTCTGTGGGGACAGAGGAGTCCAGTTTGCTACAGAGATTCCTCTGGAAGTAGCATCAGCCATAAAAATCATGGCAGTGGGCCTCAGTACAGGCATAGCCCAGTCTATATTCGTTCCTAATCTGTTATTTTTAATTCAGTTCTTTTTGTAAACCACTCACGGCAGTGAACCTACTTAATGCTTCCTCCTCCTCCTCCTGTCTTCCCCACAAGAACCCTGTGAAGTAGGTTGGGTTGAGGGAGAGGGACCGCCCCAAAATCACCTAGCCAGGTTTCATGGCAAAGGCAGGACTAGAACTCACTGCTTCCTGGTGTCTTATCTTGGTGCCTTAACCACTAGGCCAGGCAACCACATGCTGGCATTCGGCCCTCATTTCTTTAAGCACCTTGGGAGGTAAGACACACATCTGGAGGTATGAGGGCAAAATCCCAAGCTTTGAATCTGCCACTTAAGGGTGTTTGTAATAAGTTACAAAGCCCATTTTCTGGAAATCCCACAAGGCACCGTTTTTTTAGACAATATAAAAAATGACAATGCTTAATTGGAGAAACATGTTTGGGGGTGAATCTGTGGCTTGTGCTTGTTACCCAAACATGAATCTAATGACCACCAAACTACAACGTGGCACTTGATTGATGGTGAATATCTAGGCATCTATAAATGTGAGAATCTATATTAATATACATAGCTCAATATTAAGATCGTGATCTTATAGAGACACTCTTGGAAGTAAAACACCATAAACCCAATGAAGTTTATTTCACAATAAGTTTCCTATAACCTTAACCTTTCCCTCCCACCCACCTCCCAAGTATAAAATATGTAGGTAACATTTCTGGTTTGCCATTTTTTTAAAAGTAGATTTTCTAATTCTTGCAAATCTTCCAAGGCAACTTCCAGTGTTTTTTCCCCTCATCGGAAAAGAATGTACTGTATGCTATGAAAGCAGTGGTATCTTCAAACGGAAGGAACAGTTCAAAGATGGCCTGCTGAGAATTATCTGCAGGCCTCCTCACAAAATGAACAGAAGCCGAAATAATCGTTTTTAAAAGGGGGGGGGGATCCATTATACATTAAAGGAAGAGCCCCAGTGTTGCTGGTTTTGAGCTTGAGTTCCTGTGGTATTTGTTTCATTCGCCTGAAGCGAAGAACAACAGCTGAAAGAACAATTAGGATTTCTTTCATGAAATTCATATATAGAGAGTGAAATTCTGCACTGGGTGACAGGGATCTACTTTTGAAGAACCTGAAAAGAGTGCTGATAGTGCATCGGTTTTGGAAGACAATAATACCTTACTGTAATTTTTCACTGGATTCTTTGAATTTTAGCCTTCCAGCTGACAGCAGGAAAGGACATCAGTTGCAAGATCCGAAAATGCTTCTTAATGTAGATACTCCATCTTTTTCCCCCCCAGTAATTTATTTGTTAAATTTATTTGCCACCCACCTTACTCGGAATGTTACACTTAAGAGATATGGAACAGGCTGAGTCTGGAGAACATGAGACAGTGAGGGAGGGCCGTCTGCTTTGTTTCAAAGAGATAGTGGAATGCTCATTTCCTTGAGCCAAATCCTGTCCACATCTGGCACAAGGAAAGCACAAAGATGAATCATTTTCAAATTAGACAGGCTACCATTTTCATATTTCATTCTTCTTTCCCATCCATCCATCCATCCATCCATCCACCCATCCATCCATCCACCCATCCCTCCCTCCCTCTTATCAAGGGACAGAGGGAGAGATAATTTCACATGATTTCCCTTAGAACAGGGCTGCCCAAACTTGGCAACTTTAAGACTTGTGGACTTCAACTCCCAGAATTCTCCAGACAGTTGGCTGGAGAATTCTGGGAGTTGAAGTCCACAAGTCTTAAAGTTGCCAAGTTTGGGCACCCCTGTTCACATCCCTGCCTTAGAACCTTCTCCCTAATTCGCTCAGAACTCCTCAATCGTTTTCCATCTTCATTGGGCCAAAAGTCACTCACGATAGCGAGATGGGCAGCATATAGATTTAACAAAAGGAACATATAAATACACATATCCTACCTGGGCCGAACTATTTACTAAGATGAAAGAGGTGGTGGTGGTGGGGAAATTAGCTTCCTAAGAATTCCAGGATCCTACAGGAAGCAAGACTCAAGTGTGGGCATCATGCTCAGCATTAAGAAGAACATTGCAAAAGTTTGAGAGAAGTGGAGGTTTCTAACATCGGTGGTTGCTGGCCTCTTTCAGCACCTCCCTTCATGGACAGCACCATAGTTGGCATTCCCTGCCGGCTTTGGTCACTGGAAGATCTCTGCCCCCCCCCCGCCTCCCACCTCACATGGACATCTCAACAAGGGGAAAAATTAAAACCCAAGGACCTCCTTCAACTGTTGCTTCAAAAGTGTGACCTGTGAGTTCTCCCTTTGAGGAAGGAGAATTAGAAATTCTGGAATGTCTGGAATGTTAAGAGCAACAAGCTCTATCCAGCATTACATGGAAAGATGTTTTCTGAATGCACGGAACGATAGACTCTTTAATTTATCAATAAAGGAGAATATTAGTAGCTCAGGGCTGAACTGAGGGGTCCCTGGTGCTGTTTGAAACCAACTGAGCTTGCAGGGCACCAAGGCCCCCATGCTGAATTCCTAAATACTTCTAAACTTTTAACCAAAAGACTAACTAGTGGGACACTGGCATACATTGGTAATTTTCTAACAGTTGCAATAAACACAGCCTAGAGATGGACTTTGAGTGGAATGGAACGCGATCTAAAATTATTTTCAGGGCCCAAAGAGCTTTAAAGGTCTCAAGCTTTCGGTCTTAGGAATTTCAATGAGCTTTATCAAGTGAAAGTTTAAAAAATTCAAGATAACTTCTTGTGTTTAATATAAACATTTTATATAGCGTTAACAATATTGCTTTTCATTTTAAACGATATACACCATTGGCCAAATATTGCCAATAATCACACTGCATCAGTTCCATTCAAATGATTGAGCTCCATTCATTTAAAGCCAAGTTAGCATATGTGATCCTCCCTCTGAAAGTATACTCAGAAGTAATAAGTTTTCCATCTATAATTAAATCTCCAGTTCTAGAAAATCTTATATCTT